GGCCCCCCCCCCGGTGCCCCCCTTTTCCCCCCCCCCCCCCTTACCAGGTGGGCCACATGCACTGAGTGTCACTTTGCTGCAGCTCATTCGTTTCCAATAAAAGTTTCTGTGACTTAGACGGAACTTGGGAGTTTGGGGGGGCGGGGCCTGCGTCATGGGGCGGGGCCTGCGTCATGGGGTGGGGCCAGTAGCGTTTGGTATCTTAGCAACATCTGCTTTTCCGTTACTTAGTCTCAAGAGCTGTTATACCCCTCACCTCTGGGACTGTCCATGGTAGACATGGAGGATACAATGTTAGATGTAAGCCTCCTCTATCCATCAGAGGGCGACACCTTGGTTCTGGACACAGACTCATATGATCAGGATGGCTGTGATGTTCCAGATCCTGGGGTGCTCTCAGAAAAGAATGGTGAGGGCGCACCTACGGTTATCCAGGCACCCCACTAGGGAGCAGATGTTTCTCAGGCTTTGTTCAGTGCTGGAGGTGGAACTTCCCCAGGCAGTCCTTGACCCATCATGGCCCTCAGAGGAGGGTTCCTTGTTGCTTACCACCTCCAGGGTTGGGGCACAAGGCTATAGTGACACCACATCCTCCACTGACTTGCAGAACCGAGTCTGGTGGAGTCACCAAAGGTCCTGCACTTCTTTACAAATAACCAGAGGTGGCAGAAAATGACACTGCGTTCCCGTGCCCGACAGCTGTGGCTACTCCTACGTGTATACCTCCATGACATTGTGGAAAAGGTGTGATTCTTAGGTTTCTAGTTGGCCTCTGCCCTAGAGATACTGGGCACCAACAGGAGTTTCCCCAGGCAGAGTAGCTCATGCCCCCGTTACTCACATGCACATCTGTGTACTCTGGCCTGCAGGAGAAAAGAGCAGAGCTGCGGGTCGCTCGAATGACACATGGGCTGGAGCCACTGCGTCGTCTGGAGGTGGCAGCTGGACTGTGCTCAGTAGCGCAGGACCCAGTGGGTGGACGCTTCGTGGTACTAGATGGTGCAGGTTACCTGCATCAGCACACCAAGGATGGCTGGGTGCAGACAAAGCTGAAGGCTCCCATGGAGCTTCATGGGCTAGTGACTGTGCCTGGCCCTCTGGGAGAAGTGGGCCGCTTCGTAGGCTGGGGCCCAGCTGGACTGACCATATTAGGGCAAGACTTCCAGGTGCTCTGGCTGAGCAAGTCACAGGTGAAAAGGAAACTGGGCCAGGAGCCTTTTTGTTGCTTACCAGTGCCCAGCCTAGGACTGTTGATTGTGGCCCAGGTGGCAGGCAGCCTGGAGCTCTGGAAGTTCCGTTTAGGTGGCCGCCGCCTGGTGTCCTGTGGCTCACCTTTGCAACCACCACCAGGCATGTGTGGCAATCTCAAGCGACTGGCTCTAGGGCCAAAAACTAGACACTGCACCCGGTGTTGCTTTGCTGCCTATGGCTCTGCAGTGCTCACTTTTAATCTGGACTCCTGGACTCTAATGAATGTGTGCCGGGATCTGCATAAAACGTGAGGGGAATCCAGGGACAGGTGGATGGGAGGCAGATCCCCTAAGGAGAGCCAATTACTTCAAGGGCTATGGAACCCACATACAGGATTGTGCTAAATGCACTGGACCGCCCATTCTCTCACTTCCAGCATCATCTCAGACCTGGAGTACTGTGAAGCAGAAGAAGCCATGGTGACAGCTTCCCGGGACAGTACTGTGAAGGTGTGGGAGGCTGATTGGCAGATCCGGATGGTGTTCGTGGGCCACACAGGTGTGCCACAGTCTGGCAGCTCTTGCAGCCCTTGTCTCTCATCCTGAGCTTGCCTTTCTCCAGTGTTGGCTGCATCCCAGGAACTCCTTCTTAAACTATGATGTGCCCTTTCCGCAGGCCCAGTGACAGCTATGACAGTCCTCCGGAACAGCTCTCTGGTAGTGTCCGCCTCACAGGATGGGACACTTCGCACATGGGACCTGAGGGCTGCAGCTCAGGTGGGAGAGGTATCACTGGGTTCCTGGAACCAAGACACGTTCTCTGAGAGAGTGAGACATTTGCTGGCTCCTGCAGGTCCTGGCTGGCCTGTGTTCTCTCTGTGCGCAAAAACTATGGCGCTGTGGCGTGTGTGTGACCTCTATTCACCATTAGCACAGCTATCCGCTCCAGTGGTCCATGTCCAGGTGGCGCCAGTGCTCCCGGCACCAACTGAGCCATCTCTGCCCTCTCGCCTTGTATGCGCCTGTGCAGATGGGTCTGTCTATCTGGTGTCAGCTGCTACAGGACAAACCGTGAGTTCACTGCTGCTGGAACCGGAGGACTGTGCAGTTGGTGTGGCTTATTGTTTGTCTCGAGAAGCGCTGTGGGTGCTGACATGCTCGGGGCACCTAGTGCGCGCCAATGCGGCACGCAACCCTATGGTTGTATTATACCGCCAGCATCCACCTCCACTCCCAGCCCCACAGCCCTGCTGCCTGCACCTCTATAACCATCTCACAGATGCTCGTAGTGCGTTTGCCTGCTGGGAGATGGTGCGCCAGAGTAAGGGTGACATACTACTCAGTGCCATGGCCTGGGCCTTGAAAACTAAGAACAGGTGGGCACCACAGCTATCTGAGGCTGGGTTAAGGCAAAATGTGGCTGACTTAGTGACAGAGCCTTGACCGATAACTTCCATCACTTTTCATAGGTTCTTACCATTGATGGGGCACTCTGATGGCACACTGTCTGTAATGGATTGGCGTACATCAGTGACAGTCTTTAGTGTAGAAGCACACAGCCCAGGACCAGTGACTGCTATTGCGTCCACCTGGAGCACCATTGTGACTTCAGGTCAGTACCTTCCCTCCCTCAAAGACATCCTGGGAGCTCCTGCACCTTCCGGAAGTCCCAACCCTGGCTCCCGCTACCCAAAGGTGGTGATCTGACAGTAAAGATGTGGCATGCATTCCCATATGCCGAGGAGAGCCTGAGCCTGCTATGCACCTTTTCCTGTTGCCACCCAGTGGTAACGCTCTGTGTTCTGGACAAACGTATCACTGTAGCCTTTGAGGATCCAGAAAGTGCCACCTATGGCTTGGTGCAGTTTGGCCTGGGTGACAAAATGCGCTGTGACCACCGGCCACAGGATGACCCTATGGACCACATCACTGGTGAGGAGAATGGAGCAAAGGCGAAGCCTGTGTCTTTATTCTCAACTGCTTTCTAACCTTAGTTCTGCCCCTAGGCCTATGCTGCTGCCCCACCCTCAAGCTATATGCCTGCTCCAGCCTGGACTGCACCATCCGAATCTGGACCTGGGAGAACCGCCTGCTGCGGTGTGCTGGGGCCCTATATGTGGGGGCAGCTAGAGGCTAAAGGACAGCCACCAGGGCTCTTCTAACCTCTGCTTCCCATTAAAGACCAGGGGCTGAACTGAGCAGGACAGGCTCTTGCCCCGTCACTGCCTCAGGTTTCTATTCTGTGAAACAGGGGCTAGACTCTGGGCACTCTTGCAGGCTCCTGCAGCTGGATGGTCCCCCTCAGGCCCTGGCCTTTTCCAGTGACAGTGGAGACCTGGTATTTGCACTAGGTTCCCGCCTCTGCCTGGTGTCCCACAAGCTCTACCTACCTACATCTTATCTGCTTAAGGTATACAGTGAGGTCAAGGTAGTCAAGGTGGGACTGGCTGCTGCACATGAACAGTACTAGGAACAAAGTTCTGCCTGCTTTTTTAGAAATTGTGTCAGAAGGTCCCTGATGTGGTGAATGACCCTCCACTGCCACTGGACATCTGGAACCCACTGACAGTCACCCAGTTGAAGAAGCTTACCCGTCTACATGGAGCAGCCAGCCTCAGGTCTGCTGGCAGGGCTACTCAATTGCTGTGGAGGGTTCTACCCAGCCCTGGGGGCAGCATTTGCATAGCTGTATGCTCCCAGTGTGAGTTCTCTACATCCCCAAGTTCCTCCCAGTATTGCTGCATCTTAAATCATCCCAGAATCTTTTCTCCTGGATGGTCCTCACTCCAGCTTCAAACCTATCCCGCCGGTAATGCCCAGAATTCCACCTATGCCTGTTTCTATCTACAGCGTGACCTTGCCCTCCATCCGTCAACAGAAAGCAATACTTCAGCAGCCAGTGTCGAAGGAGGTAGTGTTGGTCCTAACCCTTCACCAGCCCAATGCCCATCCACACCCAGTGCCCAGTCTCAAGCCACAACCTCTCAGCCTCTGGACTGAACTCTCTTGGTTGCTTGGGAAGCATATGTCAAGTCTTCAAAAAAGCATAGGCTGACCACTGATTTCCACCTCAGGACTTGAAGTATATCATGGCCCGGGATCAAGACCTTCAAAAACTGAGGAAAGGACTAGTGTTCCCAGCAGCTCCGCCCCCACTCTCCTGGGAGGGACGCCAGGAAGCCTTTGACAATTACTTACGTCTGATCTATGCTTCTGACATGTTGGTAGGTGTGGGATCAGTCCTAGGCCATGCCATGACCTTCACCCTATCTGATACAAGCTTCCTGTTTTTCCTGTCTCAGAACATAAAATCTGGAAGGGAGTTCTTGCAGTGGAACACTGCGGGCCTCGCCACAGAGAAAGAATGCCAGGACAAGGAGACCCAGGCCGGAGCTGCCACCAGTGGTGGGCAGGCTACACTTAGTGTTGATGTTCAGCCAGTGTCCTCACATTCAGCCTTCCAAACCCCGGGAGCCCCAGGCAGGCGCTTTGCCCGCCCTCCCCGAGTCTCCTTGCCCATTCCACCCACTCACCGTGTGGTGCATAGCCGGGCATCCCAGGTGAGGCCTTCTGCCCTTCCCATATCTATCTGTGCCTGACATTGTGATCCCTGCCCCAATCCCTTGTAACTCCTTATACACCCTAGCTTCTAGCACGTTCCTCCCTGAGCTGTGAGCTGGGCCTTAGTTTGGACCTGCAGCTGAAGTGGGATCAGTGTGGAGGAAAGACCGTGGACCTGAAAACATCATCCTACTACCTGCGGCATAGGGTGAGGGCCCCTATTCAAGGTCAATTTCAGGGGCTTTGGTGGCGGTGCTCTATTCTTACTCCCTGTGTCTCCCTAGGTTCCGCTGTTGCTGCACAGAAGGCCTAAAGAGCCTCTCTCAAATCTAGGGGGCTTCTTTCCTGCCACCATACAACCCCACAGGGTGAGACCCACCCCTCCTACCTCCCAGAGGTGGCCTTTTCTAGGGGTCACTCTTTGCATATTCTATGTCCCTTTGGTGTAATCCATTGTGTCCCAGTTGGACCCAAGGGCCATGCATACAGATCCTATAGGCTCAAGGCTTAAGAACCTGAACTCTCCAGCCTGGCCAGTTCTGGTGTGGCTATGTGCATGATCTCCTTGCTGCTTTCTAGGACTAGGACTGAGCCAAAGGTCCACCACAAGTGGTTGTTTCTTCCCTGTAGGAGTGCTACATTCCCTGTAGGTTTTTTCTAGAAGACCTGAGTTCTTGAGCTTCAGGGGAGTAAAGTCCAATGGGTCCAGGCCCTCAAGATCCACCATTTTCCCATACTTGGTCATACTGGGCACCCAGGCAGGCCCTAGCCCCTTGCTAGCACATAACAGACTTCTGTTCAGGTGTATTCTTAGCCCTTCCAGCTTAGGGAGGCCTATCTATTCAATACATAGACCTCTCTCCAAGTTCCTTTCTTCCTTCCCTGCTCCCTCTACCATGTTTTTTTTTTGGGGGGGGGCAGTTTCCAGACAGTATTTCTCTGTGGCTTTGGAGGCTATCCTGGAACTAGCTCTTGTAGACCAGGCTGGTCTTGAACTTACAGAGATCCGCCTGCCTCTGCCTCCCCAGTGTTGGAATTAAAGGTGTGCGCCATTACCGCCCGGCCTACCATGGTTTTTATAGACACCCCTGTTTTAGGTTTTAGGAGAGCATATGTGTGGTTGGTTAGTGCTCACAAGGGACCAACCGCCTCTTCATTTATAGTTCGTATCCCATGAGATTACTATTCTATTGGGTTTCCCAAGCTAAACCGCCCATTTGTGTGTTGAGAACAGAGGCTACTGGTTCAGTCTGTTTTTTTGGTGGGGGGCCCTGGTTATGTCCCAGTGAATCTGAACCCAATCTGTTACCCTCCACATCTAGAAACGCACTCGGCCCATCAATTTTCCTGGCTGTGTGCCCAACTCTGTGATACTGCAGCAGATGTGGTTGCAGGCAGAGGTCGGCTGCCTTGGCTCCCTAGTAGAACTCGATACCCAGCACAGACTCAAGGCAAGAAGTGGAGCTTGGGACTCTCAGGGTGAGCCTTGCTATTTCCATAGCCTGCCACATGTTCTCTCTCGTCCTCCTGCAGCCATATGGAAGCGATGACCAGTGGCTAAAGCGCCGAAAGCATTCTACTCTCAGGTGGCGAAGGAAACTGCACCATTGGCTTAAGAGGCCACATAAGAAAGGTGAAGAAGAGGAAGACTATGATGAATACGACGAAGAGTTGGAACTGGACTGGGACTTCATTTCTGAAGAGCAGCCAGAACCCTGGGAACGAGACACTCAAGTAGGCACTCTAGGCTTTTATGAAGGGTGAGATTGGTTTTTAGAGATGCGTCTGAAGCTTCTGTCATTTCCCTTAGGGCCCCACAGACTTGACCGGAGAAGACCAGGAAGCCTCCGAGATCAGCATCCACTTGGCTCCCCAGGACCACCTCGAGGGCCCACTCTCGGAAGAGCGCCCACTCTCGGAAGAGCGCCCACTCTCGGAAGAGCGCCCACTCTCGGAAGAGCGCCCACTCTGGGAAGAGCGCAATAGACATTTGCCCAGTTTCCTGCATTATTTTGTTGTCCAGAACTGGTTCAAAAAGCTGTTCCCTATCTTTAGCCTGGAGGTTAGGAGACTCTGGGAAGCTGGGAAGCCTGGGTTGGGAGTGGGGAAGGAGAGAAGGCAGGGGCTAATCTGCACTGTAGAATGGAGTTGGGGATGGCAGGGCTTCAGCAAATCTTCCCACAGGCCTATCCAGAAATGGGCACCGTAGAGGGCCTGGCTTCGATGTTTGTGGACTTCCTGGTACAGGCTACCTGGGCAGACCGAGTGAATATTCTGCATGCCCTGCTGAGACTGTTTCCTGAAATGAGCAATGAACTCTGCAGCCGGTTGCAGGCCAAACTCTTGTACTTGCTCAATCTTGACCAGCCCCCTAGCCTCCAGGTGAGTCCCTCCACAGGTACCCTGCATCCTCACCTATTTCCAGAACCAAAAACGGTTCTCTAGTTCCACCCCACTCCTGAGCCTAGGACAAGACTCAGAAGCAGTTTGTGATGCTGGCGCTGCAGTTGCTCCTGGCCTGCAGCTTGGATGTCCTTGATGTGGTTTTGGAGATTATGTCCTACTACCTCTACTCTCCAGCTGCTTGTCAGTGAGTTGAGCTCCTGCTGGGTTTTCCCTACCAGCTTGGGAAGACCTGGGTTAAGCCTCATTCACCTGTCCCAGGAAAGAACTCAGGAATCTGCTGCGTGGGCTGGGCCTACAAGATGCACAGGGCTTCCTGTTTAAGGAGATGATGAGCTGGTCTGAGAACTTGAACCTTGACTCCAAGTCCATGATACGCGCACAATGCCAACAGAAGCTTGAGGAAATGATTCTTCAGGTCTGGTGGGCCAAGGGCAGGGTGGCTCACCTACTGGGAACCTGTTGCTTTCTTCAGAGGTCTCCCAGAAGACTACTAGTGGGTGCCCATAGGAATGCCCCTGGGCTTTCCCCAAGCAGAACATTTCTCAAGAGCTCCCTACACATCAGAAGGCTTTACTGGGATGGGGGTGGGTGGGCTGGAGGAGGCACCCTCTCCCTGGGGATAGGACTCTTGCAGAAGGAAGTTTCAGAGATACAGGTGCAAGGGTCCTTACTCCATGGGTCACTCTCCTATAGGTGAATAGCTTGGAGCGTCCTGTAGCCAGTGTTTCTGGGGAGGTCTCCTCGCAAGCCTCCCTCATTTCTGGGGTGCCCTTGCCTGCCTTGAGCACCTCTTGGACACCCTTAAGAGAATCGGACGTATCCTTGCGTGTTCAAGAGATGGTGCCTTCACCTATGGAGCCTCTGATATCTGCCTTAGACCTCCAGGCTGCAATCACAAAGGCACATTCACGCATCCGGCCAACCAAAAGAGTACTTGCTGATGCACTGCGTGTCTTCTGTTCTGAGGGCCACTTGCCTATCACTGTGTCTACTACATTAAAAAGAAGGCCATTGCCACTGGAGCAAACAGAATGGTCACAGTCTCAGCTGCTGGACCTGTTTTATATTGATGTGCTTAATTTCTTCAGTGAGAAGCAACAAGCACAGCTGCAGAACTTGACAGAGGAGGAGGTGGAAGAGCAGAGACACTTACCTGGCTCACGCCTAGGCCAGCTAAGGCCCAACATTGTGGTGCGGCCGCCCCGGGAACGCTGGTGCGCATGATGGTGGGCGTGTTGGGTTGACCCTGCATGGGCTACAGAGAAAGGCCTGACTGAATCCTCCCCCTTCTTTAGGCTCTATCCCATTTTTCGGCTGCAGGAGACCAAGCCACAAAGTTTTAGGATGTTTCTCAGGGGTGAGTGGCCTCAGGGGTAAGAATTGGACTCTAATGCCCCCCACCACTCAATCTCAGCCTATAGTTTTACTTGCCTGACTCCCTATATTCAGGTCATAGACTGTTCCGCCGGGCCCCAGCTCGTGATGGTGCCCTCCGGGTGCTGAAGCTGCCACTGCCACGAGTGGAGTTGCAGCCCTTTCCTCCAGGTTGGCCAGCACCCCCACGGGCACTGCCCCCACTGCTCCTGCAGCCTACACTGCAACGCTACTTTCTGCTCCAAGATACAAACCCAGACACCTAAGGTTGACCTGGGGGACAGATAGTCAAGGCTCCATGGCCAAGGCCCAGTCCTAACACCTTGGCAAATGACAATATCATGTTTGGCCTGAATTAAAAAATATATATACACACACACACATATATATATGTATATTTACTTATTGTGTGTATATGCAGGTTCACTTGTGTGCAAATGCACATATGTGTGCATGCTTATGGAGACCAAAAAACTGATGTCAAGTGTTCATTGTTCTACATCCTATTTATTTATTTTTGGTTTTCAGGACAGGGTTTCTCTGTGTAACAGTCCTGGCTGTGCTGGAACTCACTTTGTAGACCAGGCTGGCATCAAACTCACAGAGATGTACCGCCTCTGTCTCCTGAGTGCTGGGATTAAAGACCTATTTTTATTTATTTATTTATTTATTTATTTATTTTTGAGACAAGAGTCTCTCTACATAGCCCTGGCTGTCCTGGAACTTACTATATAGACTAGGCTGGCCTCCAACTCACAGAGATCCACCTGCATCTGCCTCCTAAGTGCTGGGATTAAAGGCATGTGTCAACATACCTGGCCTTATTTAATTGTATGAGTGTTTTGCTTGCATGTATGTACCAAGTGGGTCTCAGCAGTAAGGTGTCTGCAGAAAGTACACTAATGACTGAACCTGATGACATTTAAGGAAAAGGAGCCAGGTAGTTTGATTACATAGTTTGATACCCTCTTTCCTTTGTTCTCCAGGCCCAGGGGTCAGAGCTGTTTCTCTTGTTGTTTTTTCATTTGTAGGCTGCTGTTTTTGTGGTTCATATGCTGTACTGGTTAGTTTGTTTTTGTTTTTTGATCTACTTTTTACAAGCTAGAGTCATTTGACGAGGGGGAACCTCAACTGAAAGAAATGCTTCCACCAGACTGGTCTGTGGGCAAGCCTATGGGGCACTGTTCTCAATTTATGATTGATGTGGAAGGGCTCATCCCACTGTGGGTGGTGCCACCCTGGGCAGGTGGTCTTGGGTTGTATAAGCAAACAGTCTGAGAAAGCCATGAGGAGCAAGCCAGTAAGCAGCATTCCTCCATGGCTCTGCTTCAGTTTTTGCCTCCAGGTTCCTGCTTTGAGTTCCTGTTCTGGCTTCCTTCAGTGATGGACTGTGACCTGAAAAGTATAAAGGAAATCAACCTCTCCCGCCCCTTGGCTCACAATTCTAGGCTGCAATTCATCATTGTGAGGAGTCAAGGTAGCAGGAACCTGGAGTATCCACAGTCAGGAGTAGACTGCAACGACTCATGCCTGCTAGTGCAAGTTTGCTTTCTCCACTCTTAGAAAACCCAGGATCCCCTTCCTAGGGAATGATTATCACCCACAGTGGGCAAAGTCTTTCCATTAATTCAGAAATCCTCCCACAGACATGTCCATAGTCCAACTTAATCTAGCGGGTGCCTCATTGAGACTCTCTTTCCAGGTGATGCTATCTTGTGTCAAGTTACCAAAGTCAACTATTATAAGGTTTTGGGTTTTCTATTTTGTTTGTTTTGTTTTCAGAGACAGTCTCATTCTATAGACCAGGTTGGCCTCACATTTATCATCTTCCTGCCTCAGCTTCCTGACTTGGGAGATTAGACATGAAGCACTATGCCTAGCTGATTTATTTACCCAGCTATGTTTTTATTGGCATCTATTAATTATACATATTTATATATTTCTCACCTACTTTTCTAGATTTGAATGGGCTGGTATGGCAAAGAAAGAAAGGCAGCAGTGAAGGCAATGGAGACAAAGCAGCAGAGCTGCAAAAGAGGCACAGACAGGGAAGCAGCAGTTGTAATGGGTCTTTCTTTGAACTGCCAGCTCCGGAATAATGATATGGAGACTTTTTACTAATTATGAAAGCGTGGCCTTAGCTTAGGCTTGTTCCCAACTAGCTCCTAAGACTTAAATCAACCTGTTTATAATTAATCTAAATTCTGCCAACCAGCTCAGCACCTCTGCCCAGTATTGTATGTCCAACTTCCTCCATGTCTGGCTGGTGAATCTCACACCTCAGATTCTTTCCCAGAGTTCCTATCTCTGCCCTGAAGTACACCCTATCCTCTCCTGCCTAGTTATTGGCCATTCAGCTCCTTTATTTATTTTTGGTTTTTCAAGACAGGGTTTCTCTGTGGCTTTGGAGGCTGTTCTGGAACTAGCTCTTATAGACCAGGCTGGTCTCGAACTCACAGGTCTGCCTGCCTCTGCCTCCCGAGTGCTGGGATTAAAGGCGTGCGCCAACAACTCCCGGTTGAGGAAAAGGGTCTTAGCCTCTTCTCAGGAACTGTTATCACTAGCTGCTACTGTCAAAGGCTGGGAAATCTGGACACTTAGGCCCACACAAGAGCTAAAACCGCTTGTCACTGTAGTGCTAAGGATCCCAGTCTGTATTTAAGGCTGCATAGGATCTGAAACTGTTGCAGCTCCTAGCTATCTGCTTTGCTGTCAGAGCCGATGGTTAGGAAAGCTGCCAAAGACCAGCCCTGGAAAAACTGACACAAGATTTCTATCTTGGGAGAGCCAAGGACCCCAGGCAGCTAATTGGTAAGAGATGCACAAGACGCACCGAAGGGAATACTTTTCCTGGAAAAGACTCCAGTACTGAAAGAAACTATCTTCTAGGATTATGTAGCTGAGAAGGTCAGTGTCCTCTCACCTGTGCTAACAGATGTGCCAGTAAAAGGTAAAGATTAATATGGAGCCACAGAGAAGCAGAACAGCTACGAGGTGAGGAAGGGAGAAACCGAACAGGGATCTAGCGAACTGTGCAAGCAGTGCCTGTCGCCAGGCTCTCCCAAACCTGCAACTATTAGATTCACTAACTAGTTCCCTTTGTCCAAGGTTGTTTGACCCAGGCTTCTATCATTGAAGAACTCCTGACAAATGCCCCAAAGTTAAAGTCAGAGGCTGGCCCAAAGCTGCCTTCTCACTGCGGAGTCCGTGCCATCGGGTTCTGAACCCGGGGCTATTGGGCAGCAGCAACAGTTTGGACACCAAGGGCCCGGGCTTCCGAGTTTCCAATTCTTGGGTGCTGGCCGCGTGGTTCAGATGCCGCTGAAGCAGATGTGAATCGGTTTGGCTAGGCAAGCAAACACGCCGGGACACAGCAAGAGACATACAAGAGACAGCCGGAAAGTCGCTGCAAGGATTTAGGGTTTTTTGGGGGGGGGATGGAAGGGGGGGAGTGTAGGGTGAGGGGTAGGAACGCTTCTGCACCACCTACGAGCTCCTCGACACCCAGGCGAAACTCCAACACCGTGGCCCACAATGCCTTGCGCCCGGGCCGGTCCCGTTCCCGCCCTGCTTCAGCTGGGTCCTCAGCCTCTGGTTGGTCGCAACAACTCCCGCCCTTCCGGGGCGGGTCCTGGCCGTAGTAGGGTGATCGGCGACTCAAACTGCTGGTGGCATGAGGGGCCTGGAAGTGGCTTCGAGGCTCCTTGGCGAGCGAGGGTTGTTAGAGCAGGAGGCCGGCGCGGACACGGAGGCAGCGGAGCTCCTGACCTTCCTCGTCCCCGGCGCGCGGGCAGACCTGCAGGCGGCCGCGGCGCAGTACGTGTTGGCGCTGACTGGTTCGAGCTCGGGCCGCACGCTGTTAGCAGGACAGGCGGCGCTGCTGCGGGCTCTTGCCGAACTTGCGGTGGCCCCGGCCCCAGCTCCTTCCCGCGACGCCTCCCGCGCGCTCGTGAACTTGGCCGCTGACCCCGGCCTGCACCAGCAGCTTCTGGCGGCGAACCCGGAGCTGCCTGCCCGCCTGCTGAGCTGTGTGTTGGACTCTCAATGGCCCTGGGCTGAGGAGGCAGCCGCAGTACTGGCCAACCTGAGCCGCGAGCTGGCTCCATGTGCCGCGTTGATGGAGAAGCTGATGGCCGCTGAGCCGGAGCAGCTGGGTCTGGAGCGGCTGGGGGGCGCGCTGTGCATGCCCACCTACAACGCGGCCGCGCCCCTGCATTACCTGGGGCCACTGCTCTCCAACCTTAGCCAGCAGGCGGAGGTGCGCGCCTTTCTCCTGGACCCGGACAGGTGAAGGCCAGGCGCCTGCGTGGGCGGGGAGAGGGGGAGTGGAAGTGAACAAGGACGGCAATGATTGTGGCCTTCCAACAGGTGCGTGGTCCAACGGCTGCTGCCTCTTACCCAGTACACAGACTCCTCAGTGCGGAGGGGAGGAGTGGTGGGAACACTTCGGAATTGCTGTTTCGAGCATCGTAAGGGACAAGGAGGGAATTGGACCATTACTGGCTGGGGACAGGTCCTTCGGGACCCAACGGACCAATTCCTTGATCCCTTTTCCTTGTTCCCACCTCCAGGACACCACAAGTGGTTGCTCGGGCCCCAAGTCGACATTCTTCCCTTCTTGCTACTGCCCTTGGCTGGTCCTGAGGAGTTTTCAGAGGAAGAAATGGACAGTGAGTGACTTAGGTGGTTGTCTTGGTTTTCTAAGGGTGGAGGGAAGGACACAAGCAAGGGGAGAGGGAGAAGTGGTCTGGAGTCCCTTCAGAAGCCTTTAAAGAGGAGGCTGGTTCCCCACCCACTCACTTTTGTTTACTTCTCATTGGTTTAAATCTGGGAAGGGTACAGCATCTCACCGATTCTGTGTCCAACGGCCTTTGCAGGCAGGTTGCTTTGGAATTTGGCATGAACCATGCCACTATTTCCATGAGCTTGATTACTTTCCCCCAGATCACTCTGATTTTATTTGGTTTGCTTCCAGGTGTCACTAACGGCCTTTGCAGGCAGGTTGCTTTGGAATTTGGCATGAACCATGCCACTGTTTCCATGAGCTTGATTACTTTCCCCCAGATCACTCTAATTTTATTTGGTTTGCTTCCAGGTGTCACTGTGTTGTTTTTTGCTTTATACACATAAGCACATCTCTTGCCCAAGTAGAATTCAGTTTCATCTCAGGCATAAACACCTTCAATTTTAAGAACAACTGTGTGGGGGGCTGGAGAGATGGCTCAGAGGTTAAGAGCACTGACTGCTCTTCCAGAGGTCCTGAGTTCAATTCCCAGCAACCACATGGTGGCTCACAACCATCCGCTATGAGATCTAGTGCCTTCTTCTGGTGTGCAGATATAACTGGAAGCAAAGTGTTGTATACATAATAAAATAAGATTAAAAAAAAGAACTGTGTACTCTCTGTGATTCAAGAGACCTTGCTTATAGCCAACAAAAATGGCCTTGCACCACAGCCTTCCAGACATATTTGTCTTTTGAAAGTCCTGTTCCCAGCAGGCTCCAGGAATCTGCCCCCAAAGTTCAGCAACAGGAACTTCCCTCCTAAAGAGGTGGTTGTTACACACACAAGGCTCACCCGGGCTGATCAGGGCTCAGGTGTCCAGCACAGCTTTCACTCTCACTTCTAGGGCTGCCTGTTGACCTGCAGTACTTGTCGCCAGACAAGCAACGAGAGCCAGATGCTGACATCCGAAAGATGCTCATTGAAGCCATCATGCTGGTGAGCCAGGGTCTGTGATGTTAATGCCTTTCCACAGTACATCAACATATCTCAGTAACCCTTTCCATCTCCCTAGCTGACAGCCACTGCACCAGGTCGGCAGCAGATACGGGACCAGGGTGCTTACTTGATCCTTCGAGAGCTGTACAATTGGGAGCCAGAGCCTGATGTGCGAATGGCTTGTGAGAAACTTATCCAGGTGAGTGCAGGGCCAGAAAGGCTAGGGAAGCAGTACCCATAGCTAATGAGCCACTCAACTGCTTCTTCTGCTTGCAGGTGCTCATTGGTGATGAGCCAGAGGTTGGCATGGAAAACCTGCTGGAGGTGCAGGTGCCTGAAGACGTGGAGCGACAGCTGCAACACATAGACCAGCAAGAACAGCTAGAGCTTGCTCAAGAGCTCAGAGGCAAGGGTGCCCCGCAGACCTGAAGATCCTTTGGCCTAAGTGCCGGCTCCAGATCTACTTTGCCTGTGATCCTACAGGGCTCTAGGGTAAACGCCCAGTAAATGTTGAGAAGCTCAAGGACACTGACCAATCCTGTGCCTGCTTGTAACCAGCAAAAATGCAAGTTGTTCGGTGCTTGCACTATTGAGCTGGAGCTGGCTAGGTCCTGTGCCATAGCTGCCTACATATGAGGCAGGTAGCTGATGGCCACTAGAGCTATGAGGAGCCTATTTCCAGACTGTGGGTAGGGCTGTATTGAAAACACTACAAACCCTGGGGAGTCAACTAGAGCTTTTCATTCCCAAAGGCACTGAAGGATCTGGACATGGATTGTCTTAGAGGTGCAAACAGTGCTATGAGCCTCAACCTTTGGAGTCCTTTTGCTTTCCTTGCCCAACACCTCTTTGAAAGACAGACCACTCTTGAATCCTAGGGTCTTCCTAGGGTGCTCTGCCCTTCTAGGCCTATCTTTGGATCATTTGCTGGGTACCGTTTCCTCTTTACTATCTCTGTGATACCAGCCCTTGCCTTTAGTTTTTGGTTAGCCTTCTTAGTCCCAGGTTGAATTGGACTTAAACATTTAGTTAGAACCTGGACCTCAGTTATCTTCCTTGAGCCTCAGTTGCCTTTCAAGACATCCAGATGCTCCTGCTGGGCACGTCTTGCCTACCTCTACAGAGATTCTCCTAGGTGTTCCTGCCCCAAGCCTTTGGAGCCTACTCCATCTATGCAGTCCTTCTTCGTCGTTCTGTAGACACACCATGGCGAGTCTTACCCCACTGTGTCCCCTTTTCTGAGCCACAGATCTTGATCCACCTGTGTGAAACTTTTGTATTCTGTTCCTTCTCCTTAGCAGTGGGTCCTCCCAAGGTCCTTGGGGCCCATAGTCTTCATGAGAGTTTGCAGTGTTCCACTCCATACTTCACTGAGGCTAGAAAACTGCTTTATTATGTGTTATGCCATGGTTGGTTAAGTGTTTCATTGGGTACCACGAATCTCCCCCTGCCCCCATGATGCCTTCCAGCCCTCTGTTAAAGCTTTGATACTCTTAGGTATGCCTGTTGGGTAGACTAGTGTTTTCCCTCTGATCCAGATCCCCAAGTAGGTAATGGTGGAGCTCTAGCCCAATGAGATTCCCAGAGGCCACCAGCCCTCCTTGTGTAGATGGCTGCATCCTCAGCTCCACAGAAAAACATCTTTATCTGCCCACACCCACCCACCCTCAACTGACCAGATAGTGCCCAGGCATGTTCCTTTGGGGAATGTGGAGTATACAGAGCGGCCACCTGCCATGGTGTGTCATAGCCCACGACTGATAGAACCCATTCCTCTAGTGCAGGTTTCCAGATGCTGCATGGCTGGGCCAAAGACACTCTCCTTAGAGATGTTCTGCCTCTGGAGATGCTGCAGCTTTTGCTTCTGGTACACTATATTTCTGCCAGCCCCTGTGTTGCCAGAGACTATTACTGACTGGGAATGCCCCTGTTCTGCAATGGATCAAAGCAGAGGGTCTTGTACAGTGTTAGAGGCACTGCCTGCAGCCCAACAAGTCACCCATGGGCCATGCCCCACCTGGGGTAGCACCAAGTGTAGAGGACAGTGTGTGTTCCACAGGCAGCTACCCGCCACAGGCCCAGGCATGCACACGGATGCAGTTGAAGCAGCCCTCTGATCAGGTCCTGGAACTCTCAGGAGAGGGCTCACTGCTGGAGCCTGCCAGTTGCCCTGGCTCACACCCACTACTTCCAGAAATGGTGGCAACTTGAGAGGAATCTTTACCTGCCTGGTAAAAGTTCAGGGGTTTCTGCCCATTATCAAAGGGGGACTGAAGCACAGAGGGAGGGTGAGGTATTCTGGACTAGTGCCATGTTAAGGCACATGTTAAGGGTAGGATTGCTACCCTTCAGGTCCACCCTCAGCTCAGCTTTCCCAACATGCAGTGTGAGGATGGTACTTTTCCAGCCTATGGAGTAGGGTGATACCATTGCCATTCTATGCTGTGGGCTCTGGTCTCTGGCTGCTCTCCAGGCCTGAGCTGGGGCTTGGAAGGAGAATGGAATGGTGTTGCTCACCTGAGGACAGGCCTGGCCTGAAGACCGGACCACGACGAATCAGATGCAGCATGCGATGGGACTGGTGTTCCTTGAAGGGCAGCTTTCCAGACTCCATGGCATGAAGTATGATCCCTTTGGGGATGCAGCTTCCTCAGGGTGTTGACCCTCCTAACTAAGCCCACCTATGGGTCCTGCAGGGGGTACCTGGGGTACTCATAGGCTCCAGAGATCAGCCACTCATCGTACTTCTTGCTCATGAGGATTTCTGGGGTCATATAGGTTACAGACCCACAGAAGGTGCTCAGCAGTGAGTTCTTGAGCCCCACACAGTTGGCAAAGCCAAAATCTGCACACTATGCAGTCAGGGCAAGGCAACACAGATGATGTATAGTTTGGGGAGAGTGGGTTCAAGAGGTTATCTGTTAGGATGGTGGAGTGAACAGGGAGCTCTAAGTGTATGTTACCAGAATGAGGTGAGGGAGAAGCTAGGCAGGGCCTTGTGTGGGTGTAGGTAGGAATGGAATTCAGGGTTTTTGGAAGAACTGAAGGTCAGGGCTAGGTCAGAGTGCAGCCTGTGTGGGACAGGAAGAAGCTGGAGGAGGGAGCCCAGAAGTAAACTGGACTGAGGGAGCCATGTGGGCTCACCTGTCAGCTTTAGGACACCCTGGTCATCCAACAGGATATTTTCACATTTCAAGTCCCTGTGGGAGAAGGGGATGTGGGGCTGGGCTCAAGTGGGTCAGCAGATACCCAGGTAGGTAGGTAGACCAGATGGCACCCTCATGGGTGCACAATGCCAGCATTGTGGCCGTGGGCCACAGCCTGACCAGTTGCCAGAAAAGCCTTCGGCTTCCTCCTCCTCTAGCCCTGGGCAACATTGGAGGCTTAACACTGCATTGATACACTCCAGCAGATCACCTCGGGCTGCCAACTCCAGTACCAGGTAGGAGTGCTGGCTGTTCTGGTAGGTATCACACAACTGCATCTACCAAACACCCTCCCACCCCTACGCCCTTATATCCTGTCATCCTGAGGAAGGCCTGGGCCAAGAGTGCAGGGACTGTCAGGTGTGCCAGATCCCAGTTGCAGGGTGAGAGTGGGATCTGTATTCAAGGGCAAAAGGGAGGTTTTCCAAGTAGAGGAGGGGAACCAAGCTTGGGGTAGACAGTAGGCATGGTAAGGACTCTTACTATGTTCAGGTGCTTATAGATGGATGAAATTTCATGGGGCAGGAACTTTCTGGAGTACTCCACTGGGGCTTCAGCCATGAACACAATCTTAATAGCCACCAGAGACAGGTGGAGAGTAGCCAACTGTGGAAAGGCTCCTTAGAATAGACCCACTGTAATTTACACACATTGTTGAACTTCTCCCAGTGGCTGGGTGAGCAACATCCCCCAAAAGTGGTGCCAGCTCCGCTTTCTTTTTGTCCTGGGAACATACATATTTGAGGGAAGCTGAGAATAAATAGGACCTAGGAGGGAGGTGCTATAGAGGATGCTAGGGTAGCTGGAAGGTACCTGAGAGGGTAGAGGACAGGCTTGCTGGAACCAGGCTGGGTTACCCCAATGAACCCACAGAGAAAGTGGCAGGCCTCCCTCACCATAATGTGATTCTTGCCTCGCAAGTCAGAGGATAGCTTAGGATTGTGCTTCATGCGTTCACGTGTTGCATAGGCCAGGTAGACCCTGGAGAAAGCAGCAGAGCCAATCTTCTTGGAGGGAAGCAGGTAACCATTGTCCATGCAGTCTCGAACCTGCTCCACAAAGATCCTTTGATCCAGCTTGCACTGGCTGTTGCTCCTCATGGGGGAGGGGGCAGGGTGCCACAGAAGAGGGCTTGCTGGGCCAGCTTGCTTACTGTCATTCAGCTGCGGGTAGGGACAAAGCTGAGGTCTAACTTGTTTCAGAGGAGAAGCAGAAGGCCAGGAGCCCTGCAGCCCCCTTGGAGAAAACAGCCAGTATTCTGAAGACTTACTCGGTTTAAGGCTAAGAGTATATGTTGAGAGGCTCACGGGCAGGAGACTAACACAGCTCTGGACTGATTGGAGAGTGAAGACTCCAGGGAACTGGGTGTAGGTTCTAGAATAGAAGGTTCTAGAGATGCACCTGCATTGTGTCCTCAAAGTTATCCTCTTAAGACTTGTCATCTCTGAGGCCATCTTACTGGATTAGCCCTATAAAATGCTGTGCTCTTTCTGTGGGCTGAGAACTCATGTGAAGGACTAGCACCAGGGTGAGGCTTTTGCGGGCCACTCTACATGCATTGAATATAAAAAACCTTTAAGGATTTATTTTCATTATTTGTGTGTGTGTGTGTGTGTGTGTTTTTTCATTATTTGTGTCTGTGTATGTGTGTGTGTGGGAAACCTTTAAGGATTTATTTTCATTATTTGTGTGTGTGTGTGTGTGTGTTTTCATTATTTGTGTCTGTGTATGTGTGTGTGTGTGGGGAGGACAGAGAGAGAGAGCTCACAGAGGTTTTGTATCTCCTGGAGCTAGAGTTTTAGGTGGTTCTGAGCCACTTGATATGGGTCCTGGAAACTAAACTTGGGTCCCCTGCAAAAGCAGTGTGTTCTTAATTGCTGAGCCATTTCTCCAGCCCCTATACAAGTTTTTAAAGAAGTTGGGAGAGAGTTGGATGGTGGTGGTGCCTTTAATCCAGAACTTGGGAGGCAGAGGCAGATGGGACTCAGTTCAAGGCCAGCCTGGTCTACAGAACAAGTTCCAGGATAGCCAGGGCTACACGGAAACTCTGTCTCAAAACCAAAAAAAGCAAAAAAGTTGGAAGGGTTAATTCTTCTAAGGACATAAAGGGACCAGCCACTGTTTCATTCTTTGAGGGGTGTCAAAGCCACAGCTAAATGAGTCATATGTGGCAAGAGCCAGTCCAGGATCCTCTATCCTGGTCTCCTCTGCTGGATCTTGAATTTTGACCCAGGCCAGACCTGCTGCAGGAAGCTTACCACCTAGATCTCTTTTCAGGTTTGAACACACCTTCAGAGCAAGCAAAGTCCACCACCTCAGACTACTCTGGGCCAGACCTGCTGCAGGAAGCTTACCACCTAGATCTCTTTTCAGGTTTGACACCTTCAGAGCAAGCAAAGTCCACCACCTCAGACTACTCTGACAGGGCATGGACCCCACTACCATCTCTTCCCTCTTGTTTTGAACTCCAGAGTCACAGCTGGCCTTTACTTTGCACATGTCACATACTAGTTGCTATTCTAAGTAGTCATCTTAGCTACATCTATCTGATCATGTCTGATTCCATGACCAAACAGAAGTATGTCTTTTTCTTTGGGCTGCCAGC